GTAATCCAGGTGACCAATACATATGATGACTGCAGACACGTGCTACTTCCCGTCTCGTTAACGAGCATTCATGTCGAAAAGGTGTTATTATTACCATGCATATCCCTGAAAGTACATGAAGCATCTGCAGAATACTTATTGTAGGACAGGGAGTGTAACGACATTCGGACTAAGTAAAATAACCCCCATTTGTTGATATCATTGATGCAGTTTATATGACAGTGTTCAGTCTCAGTTATACGAGAGTAGGCACTACTTGGTGAATGTCTACTTCTGTTCCAGACATATTCAAATAAGGACTGAATGGTTCTGGTCAATCCAACAACATGTTTGAACTTCCTCCAAATTATCTCCTAATATTTTATCTTCCAATTATTTTTAAAGAGTCAAATCCATGAAACAAGGATCACATATGAACTTGGTCGATGCTCTCATGGTACTCGTAGACGGGCTTGATGCAGGCTGTGGTTAGTTGTTCTACCCGTTTGTGATTGCAACGGGTTGGAGAGCAGATGGCTATATTTATCACATATGCGAGAAATATGCACCAAACAGTCGTGAACACTGAACGTCACAACTTATATTGTGTTTCATATCTTCCTATCCAATATTTTAGTAGCAATAGAAGGAGTCCGTTTTGTGCAATTCTATACAGTGGTAACGTATGACATTATGCAAGTGGGATGTACATTCATGTGATGATCCCGTGTAGCAGAATACGGTTTGTTGGTTTTAACAGTTCATAAAAGAACCAATCAATGAACTACATCCTCTGAGCGCATTCTTTCTGGAATAGTGTCTAAAACAGATAGGGTCTACTTATTCCAAGGCCTTATTTTCCCAGAAATCCGATAGCGAAACCAGAAGAAAGTGTCTGGCTTCATTGTCCAAATGGAATTTACCAAGTGTCTTCCAAACTAAACAAAATTAGTTCAGCCGTCTCGAATACAGATGAAATCATGAGAACTTCTGGGTGCACGGATAAAGTTCAACCATAGCAATAACAGTAAAAGAACTTCTATAGTAAGGTCAACCGCCAAACACCCAATACCTTCTTCATCTTAGTGGACGTTACACCTTTTGTTGATCCAACCGAACTTCGTTTTCTATTCATTGCCCAGTATTACATATACACGCATTTTATGACATCGTTTGAATCTAGGACTTAGTTGGCTTTTTATAATATTTCGTTTGTTCTCGGGTAGCATCGGTGTTTGCACCCCTACTAGCTGCTGAAACTAATAAACTGTGTGGCAATAAATGCGTGGTAGTTCACACAACAAGCGACTTTTAAATGAGAAAATTATTCAGGTGCCATCAACCGGTTATGAAGACACAGTTTCGTCTAATAAAATATATTAGAAGGGTAAGCTATGACCTCCGCAGTGATTACACGAAATTCTTAGGGATTTTGTACATCCTGACTACAAGAAATTATTGACAATTTATGTACTACGCAATCCGAAATTTATCATTGGTGAACTCGCAGTTCATGAAATGAAGTACGAAGTCGGCATAGCATAAAACCGTCTGCAAATAAACACCTATCTGTGGTGAATTATTTCGCTGGTTTTCACTTGTGGCAGATTGAACTGTGCACCTCGGAGTATTCACTTACTGTTGTGCTTGTTGCGTTATTTGAAGTAGTCACCTATGCAAACAGACAGTCTCACACGCACCAACCCTACTGACTGCCAACTGTTTTTTGCTCATTTCCTGCCACGATCAGTCTCATGTATGCACCGGCATATGACTGCAAAATTCATCCAATCATATTTCACCACGAAGCGGACGGCCCTGCTTGGCCGTACCGATTTTATGAAAAACTTACTCTTGCTCAGTTTTCCGTGCGTTCTTGAAGCTGCGTTATTAAACGGTTTTCATGCACTGTGATTTACAACTGATTTTTGAACATAATAGCGTTGGCAACGAAAATGACCAGTGTTGAATTACTAATGAAACATTTTTTTAACCACATTTTTCTAATTCATCAACTTATCGCATTATTTACTTTGGTGTAATATGAAAAAGCTTGCTCTAGAATAAATACACTATGGTCGAGACCAGACGCCTACTGCAGGTCATCTAACGTGTCGAGTCCTACACTTCAGTGCTAGCAGTTAGGCTGCGGACACTGTCTCCCAGTAACGACTTCGGTACACAATATTTGTTAGTCAAATCGGGACAAAAGAGATGGTAAACACGCGGCAAAATGAAATGGACCCACAGTGACTGACTCAGATAAACGAAGTCACTGATGCAAAGATATTCTTTCGAAGTGAAACTTACAACAGCGCGAAGCAAATTTGATCTGAGCTAGGTCGTCACTGATATATAGTTGCCTCTCTATGCTGACTATTTGCCAGTAGATAAAGATCGTCTTATTTATTGTTGTCTACGTGTTGTCCAAAGTAAGCGGAATGAAAACCTATTGCAAAATTTCCTTATTTTGCTTGTTTGTTACTGATTCACTAACCAATCAGGTTCTGATTCCGCCTGTTCGAATTTCGTTCCAGTAAATCACATCCTTACGTAAACCAACTTCATTCATTTAAAGAAAGGGTTATACACAGATAAATCGCGTTGCCTTGGACAACCTGTTGAGACCTGTTTCTGCAGAATAATTATTGTAATGTTGTTTTGGCGTGCAAACTGCACGATTCATTTGCGAAGCCTTCGAAGGCCTCAGCGTGGCTGTGTAGTATGGTATTTCCTCCGCCATTGGGATGAAGCATACTGAACAATATTTACTCACAGTGTTCCACCGGGAAGTGTCTGTAAGGGAAACATCCTCACATTCAAAAGCAATGATCCGGCAACTTATTATTACAACATGTAGATTTACTCTCATGCAAAACTGCCATGCAAAGTCGTAAAGCAGGCGGAATGTGTGTTATTATCCCGATCGACGAATATCGGCTTTTTGACACAAACCACAATGTGATTCACCAGCTTCAGTTCAAGTGATTAGCTTCCGAACACATCTGAAAATAAATTATCGGAAAAATGTGATATTATTTTCGCTAAGCTATTGTTCGTTACTGGTTCGAGTACTCGAAAAGGAAAAAACGATTCAAACAATTGTACCAGCATAATCTCTCACTTCTGTGCATTTGATTTTGAAGAATGTCCGGGATGAAACCGTACGTGATGTGTGCACTACAAATAATGCGGGAATTCCCAAGCCGGTGAATACTACCATAACCGATATTCACATAATTCGCATACAGCAAAATACATTTGTTTTATTACCAAGGTGCTTCCTCATACGGCGTCTATAAAATCTATTTTGCCAGTATTTTTGGAAGCTTGTGTAGAAAAGAGGGATCATTTTTTATTGCGCAGGTCAAGCCACGAGTAATTTGTACTGGGATTGAGTTAGGCAATCTGACACTAAATCACAGTAAAAGCTACCGCAGCAAATTATGCCTCACACAGACCAATGCACGTCTAACGAGGTTCACGATCCGTTGACAACAAATCCAAGTACAGCTATTGTGTGCGTTCAGAATTACTTTGCTGTTTTATCTCATAAGTTTCAAATAGGTTCACTACGTGATTCTTATTTTTTCCCTTAATACACTGTGAGCGTTTTCTGTGAATTACCTCTACTAGAATTGGGAAAACTACCAACGCTTTGCATCATGAAATTCATACTTCCAAATCATTGAATACAAACAAAACAGGTGCAAGTCAGGATGCACTCAGCGATGTGCATACAGGCAACAACATGCACGTATTTACGAAGCAGGCATGAGAGGAATAATCGATGGGAAACAAACGGGATGGGGTGGATCGTGATGCATGCGTGTGAGTGTGTGTATGCCAATACATCTGTAAACACGACAGTGTAACGAATAGGTGACTCTTTTCTTCGCATAATATGCTATCGGGGAAAATCCAAGCCATTATTCATAAGCAAACACGAGAGTTCTCTATGATTCAGACAAGTTAGGCTTGTGCTCTTGGAAGTTGATCATCACGCTGACCTACGCATGTGGATGACCGGAGAGATTTCCAGAGCAAATACAAAAATAAGCGATCAGGTGCTTCTGGAGTCACGATCAGTTATTCTCGTTTTAGATAGTTCTGTATCCCATTCCTGCACATACCAAAGCAATGTACATTTATTCTTTTAATGTCCAAATACAACGGCAAAATGCCAGCCATTACATCTTGATATTATCCAATAAATGAATAAAATTACAAGTATGGAAAGACGTCACCTATCCAACTGTCTTCATGTGCCTAAAATACGGTGGTCTTTCCAAGGAGTCATTCTCATGTCCTACGGGTGTGAACCGCCTAAAAAGTTCAACCAGTGTCAGTGAACGAACGGAGCCACTTTTGGATTGACATTAGAAACTTACGCAGACGAATGCATGCTTTTTTCCCACCATTTGTAATCTCTCTTTTAAAGGAAAACACCTCGATTATATAAGGTGCAGATATGTTAGTCTCAGGAACTGACGATGACGAAAGACATACAGCGGAGAAAGTGGGAGCACTGTACTTCATTGCTGTTCACTGATGTGCCAAATCTAAGGCTAATCTGAGATAAATGAAACAGTGATTTGAATGAGACGTAATAATATAGAATCTGGAGTCGATCCGATTTCAGTTCTTGGTGACCTGCTGGGGTTTAACGCACCTGTTTTGTTGGGAACACTTGTGCTACCAATTTCGATCGCTAGATTGGAACGCGAATAACTTTGATACAGTGTGTGCGTGTGGGTGTAGTTGTGCATTCCTGAGTTTGTTTTTGTATGAACGTTTACCGCTTCGAGGCGCCTGAGTGTTTGCAATATTCGTATATGTTTTTTTTCGATCTACATATATATATATATGTATATGTATATGTGTATACATATATATATATATATGTATATATATATATATATATATATATATATATAAATATATTATCCATATATTTTGCTGCTAAGACACGGAGTATTTGAAACAGAATCTCATTCTCAAGGTGAATTAAAAGGAAGCCCATGTTTCAGATCCGTGACATTATTCCAACTGACTTGGCCGAGGTGTACACGTTTACCAGAATTCTTTATCAGTACCATAGCAATGTAACTTCGGAAGGTCTACTGGGTGATTCCGAGTTTATTGAGATTTTCACACAAGGATATCTGCACGGACTTTTATTGACCACAAGTGAGACCGATCCATCACAAAATAATCAACAAAAGACTGTTCGAAAATCCAGGATGATTGGTTTCATGATTTACCATCCCACGGTATCTACTGTACGCGGCCAAGGCATTTATCTTGGACAATTTTTCTTGCTACCTGAATTCCGACGACGTGGTCTGGGAAAAAGGATGATGTCCAGGCTTTGTCAGATTGGTCTTTCAAACCGAAAAACCCATATCAAGTTGATCTGTCAGGAGGGTCTTGAAGCAGAAAAAGTGTACGAAAAATTGGGTTTTGTGAACAACACCAAACTCTCTCCGGGTTTGCGTCTTTTCCAGGCGTTTGGCAGATCAGATTGGTGCAAAATGTTGGATGAAGGCAAAAAGTTTGAGAAGAATTTCAATGAAAACGGCCAATTTGATCCGTTCATGCAATTAGTGATTCATTCGGAAGCGCTCAATAAATCTGACTGGCCTAGATGGACCGCTTTAAAAGTTGCATCTTTGAGTAACCAGAATAATCGTGGAAAACATGTTACCCCACCAACACCTCAGCTTGTCCTTATCACGGACAGAAAATTGGGTGAATCAGAGCAATCTACGAGCACTGTAGATGTGACAGACGGACATATGATGTGCACTTTTACCGAACAGCTTCAGGTTTGCAGTTGGACTGGTCCACTGATTCTTTTTTCCGATTTTATGGGAAACACCTCTGCGCTTCGACCAGAATTGCTGTATAATCGAGTTCGTGAGTGGTTGAAAATAGAGCCAAACTTACGCGGAGCCTATTGGGAAGTTCCATGTGGTACTGAATGCAGGGAAGAACCGAGTACAACTCTGCTTACACGTTTTCTGAATCAGCTTAATGTGATTGATGGTTCGGAACAAGAAGGATGGAATATATGGTACTTGGGTGAAAGCGGAATGCGCCATTTAGCTGGTCTATTTTCAACTGACTGAAGGTTCATCGCCATCAAAGCTCCTTTTAATTATTATCCATAATAATGTATCAGTGACTATCTGGGTTTTCTGATTGCCATTGATTCATCGCATCCATCAATTCATCTTTGTTCACCATAAAACTTGGAGATACTTCTATAGAGTTTCCAATATTCGAACGATTATAGTAGATTATTTGAAGATTTCTGACGGTTTAAAAATTTACACAATATTTTCGGTAATTATCTTCACTAGACAGTAGGTTTTTGTTGTATTAGTTCAACTTTCCACGAAAAATGCAACGGTCGGCTGATAGCAACACCTGGATAAACGATAAGTCAAAAATAAATGCTATATATGAAAACAGCAAATCAGAGCATATCAGTGCGAAGTTATGGTTGGAACAAATGAGACTAAATTGATATTGGAGAATTCATCTTTTATTCGCATACAGTCATAATGGATGGGAACATTATCAGTTATACTGATTCAGATCACGACACATTCAACTTAACCAGGAACCCTCGCAACAGCTTGAGCCGATTTTCCTAATAGGTCTGGGTGATGAGTAAGTAGCACATCAGGGCCATTTTACAAATGAAGACAGCATAATTTCTAAGTGATTTCGAGAGTTTGAATTGTCCTGCTGACCCACTAGAATGAGACATATGACATTGTACTCGTTAACCAGAAATAAATAAGTCACGAGTGTGGACAAGTTTGGATTCAAAACTTCAAACATGACATGGAAATGCGCGATGAGATCCTATATTTTGTTTCCGTTCTGACAGGTCCTGAAGCGTTAACCATTGGAAACCGGTCACCGTGCTTGGTCGCATCAGTATAGTCTCAAATACCATATATGTAACTATTTTCATGATAATTAGCTACTGCTTGCATATCAACGCAGTGACATGAAATTGCCTAATACTTTACACATATTATCAAGCGTATAATGTAGTATTTTCATACAGCTGGTATGGGGCAATAATGTGATAGGTAGTTTGGTAATGGAAATGCGACGGAATGTATTGGTCAATAATTAGGACAAGTCATGACAAATGATGGAAAACTGAGTTTATCGTTCTGAAAACAACCTTAGTTTCGCACATTACGTTACATGTCTATACGTGAATGAATGTATATTTTTGATGATCAGTGCGGCCAAAACTGGTGTATTTGTGGGCTGATTCGGTAACCAGGACAGCTTTCAGAAATTATTCATCGAACGCTTGTTACTAAGGAGTAGAGAACAGGACAAGTTTTTCATCCAAGCCGGTAAAGGAAAAGGAGGTAGTTTAAAAGTTGAACACCAAAAGTGGAGCAAAATGTGGAATTTGAGTGACGCGCAGTCTCCGAAGAACCGTTATCTGAATCGAATTTTGGCACATACTCAATGCAATTTTACTTGTGGCGAGCTTGAAGTATTCAACAGGCACACGTACACGGAAAGCCTGAAAAAATTCAAATTCCCTGCATGATGAACCGACCTGAATGGTTATGCTTCGTACATCGCACGCTTACGTTATGATCACCTGATGTCCATCAAACGGGTGTTTGGGCCGAACGTTGCCCAATTAGCATTACTACATCTACGGAAAAACCAATCAAATTTCTAAATTTCACGGATGCGTTTGTTCAAATATAGTGTTCATCAAATCCTTAGCTGACACTGCATGTCATGTAATAGGCCGAACGGGATAAATAAAGCTGAAGTCAACGGGTCTCTTTTCAGAAGTCGGTATTAGGACGTCACCATTTAATATTATTTTGTATCCGAAGGATATACAGATTTCACCGAAATCAAGTATTGGGTGCCAGGGTTGTCTGTGACAAACGTGAAAGCTAAATTTGCCCTATTCTATGGTTTATTTATGAAACTGGACAAATTTGCGCAAAATATACGTATATCCCACCTAAATATAGCTATCACTTGGAGGCTAACAGCCGAAGCGTTTTGGCTAGACTTATGTGGATTCTCTTATTGATAGACTGAATTAGTCTAGTTATGAGCGTGTACGTTGTTATACGTGTAGTACTCAACGACCAGTAATCTTCTGCGTTGACCGCGAATGTCAGGTCTGCAAAACACCAGAAAAATCATTATCAGCTGAAGCTTGGTAAGTACATCGTATAATCCTACACTTACAATAATTGGACATTATTGTGACTGCCAAAAGCCTGCTCATTATACATACAGTGGAATATTCCTATAAAGTAACCGTTTTTTGTCATTATTGAAGAAAACTGAAATAATAAGCGAAACCTTTATCCAAATGCGGGTGTAGAAACCACAAGCTACTCGGAGAATTCAGCCTCAAAACTGACTTGGTAAACTGCCAATATCGACGTGATTAGTGAATTAAAATCTTGTTTAAATGAATGATAATACTAACTTAGTTAGTGCTTTGAAGGCAAAATTACATTTTTCAAAATAGCATCCGGCTTTACTACACAGCTGACCGACTTCATATCGTATAACAGAGAACAGTTATCGAACGACCTGGACTAGCACCCTTCTCTTTCATTCATCAGTAAAACGTACAGCCTTCTTACCGTCTAGATACAAAACCCACGATGAAAAACGATATAAGTTTATCAGTGACACATGTATTGAACTGTTTTCGCAGTGATCCGCTTACACTGTGAGTAAACTAAATCCTTGTACTGAAGTCTGAGGTTTATTTAATGACGCAAGCCTCCATTCTCTCTTTCGCCAACGAATTCAATGTGACCTCGCCTGAAATAACTCTTCCTCTGTTTTGCCAATGGGTTGTCAAAGTAGGCTACCGCACACTGACTACTCAATATAACCAAAAGCTGTTGGCAATAGTTCCCGTTTCTCCATTTCTTCACAACTGCGAGTAGGAGTACATTTAGAGGCGAAAATATTTACCTCACTTTTACCCACCCATGGTGAAGTCAAACATATTCAGCAGAACGCATTAGATCTTTGAAGACCTTCAAAAGCTCCATCACGGTGGAGATTATCTTGTAGTTCAGCGCCACAGAATTTGAATGTAGCCATGCGCATATCACTGTTTGAGGAACAATCACTTAGCTGGATGTCAGTAGTATGTCAAGACTGTAAACATGAGTAATCACATATCCCTCGATTGCAATGAACAGGAAATTGGAATTAGCTTACATTTCTCAGATACATTACCGATCGGTCTCCATTGACCAATAAAACTTGTTATTCACAGCAAAGCAACTTGAATAGGTCGATACTGAGAATCACTCAGTATTTTACTGGTGTCTCACAATACAGCAGATCCTTACAATTCCACAGGAAACGCACTTACAAAATGTAAAATAATTCATGAAAAGAATACTGCTGACCAAGGTTTGCCCGGAGACATGTCCTCCAACACGGAAAGCTGGATGTTATTTTATGAAAACAGTAATATAGAGACAAATCACCATTGGAATATAGTGTTTTGCCTAATGAAATGTACTGTAATCATGGAACAGCTTTGACATAATTGTATAACGGTTTAGTTATGGTCGTTGCAGGTGATGAAAATTGAAGTTTTTTAAATCATCCGAACAGACTTGTTGATCTTAATAGATATATATATTTCTAATTTTAACCGTCTGGAGTGTGAATAGACACTCTTCATTGAAGAGCCCACAAATGATGGTAGGTAGTACGTAAACGTGTGAACGAAATTTAACCGGAAACATGTATATATATATATATATATATATATATATATATATATATAATGTATATCAGCCAGTTCATCCGCAACAGCGATCACATCTCCATTCGCAGAACGGATCACCGCCTCATTCAGCGAACGCTGGGACATACCGGGGAATGTCCAAACCGATGGCGCAACCCACTGTGATCGCACAGAATGGTATAAATTCTCTAGGAGAATCTGTTGAGGAACCCGTGAATGAATCAGGTCACAATATTTACCTAACTCAAACTTGCCATATCCTTAAGCAAAGCTAGTGGTTTTAGTGAAATGGTACATTTCGGGATGCAGTGTTTGGCGTTCTGCGTAAAAAAGCTTTCGACTTGAAACGATTATCTACCTTTTTACTGACAACGGATTTCACCATTCTACATCGAACGCATTCCAAGAGCTTTCAACCCAGTTTAACAAAAATAATCTTGGTTTCACTGTTAAACATGCGAATTGAAAAGTGCACGATCAGAGAAGGGTGGGAAATGTTTTGATTTCGCGACAAGTATACAACTGTTTTGTTCTGCTGAATAACTGAAAGCGTACCATTGATCTTATTCTAGTTGATAAGTAACGTCAATGGGTAGTGTGTGACCGATCGGATAATCTGTGCTGACGGTGAACGTGTAATTGAATATCACTTACCCATGGAAACAGAATGAATCAGCCTTTTCTCAGTATTTGGCATTTTCTATCATCCGAATTTAAATTTGTCTGATGGTCTTTAACTGTTTGCGCACCACTTTCAAAGCAAGCAAAAGACGGAAACTTTTGTATGCTGTTCAGCCTAAATTATCGAACTTAAAGAAAGCACGGCAGCGTTTCACATGAGGTTGCCTGAACTGATGAGCATTATTTTACGAGATTGTCTCATCTACCCGGTTTTCAAAAATACCAGCTGTGGAAAACAATATTAAACGTTACGGTGTGATTCAAATCATAGAATATGCCCATCGATTCATGAAAAACTGTGACACGAAGACATTTCTTTTCGATGTATCACTTTAGACATCGACATATATATTGTTCGGTAAAAGAGATTATATGTTTATTAAGGAATGTGCCTGCAACAATCGTTACCCTAAAACCTACTGGAAAGCACTGCGCAGGTGCCATGTGACACCCAATGTCCGATCGCTCAGACGTCATGCGCTCAATCAACTTGACGCGGCCAAATCCAGTTTAGATTAAATGGGGCAGCTGGTAAATAGATACGAAACGAATGTTGCAAAACTAACGGAAGGTGATCAAAAAGAATTTTGGGATTTTGTGGATTCAGTTCTTTCGAAAAGCTCGGGGAAAAAGCGAGGGAAGTTCCTCAGC